TAATGGAGAAAGGAAGGCTAGTAGCCTTGTGTTTCAGGGTTATCGTAGGGATGCGACGATTGAATTTGATGGTTAGATCGATGAAACTATACACTGGACTGTTGCTTGTCAGGCTTCTCTCTGAGAATCCATAACTGATAGCTGATACTCCACGTGACGAGGTTGGTGATTTGTATGACTCCGATCAGGTTGTCAGGTCTTGGCCAATATTTTCCCAATATTGTTTGCCAGATCATTATGTCATCGATGATTGGCGCGTTATTTCCCACTCTCCCCCACATCCTCGATTTCGATCGCAAACACAATTTCCCCCCATTTCCACTACAGCAATTTGTGTATTCGCAAGACCCTGATTCCTTGCCCAAGTACTGGAGTTTCCTGAGCCTCAGAGGCATGCTTAAAAGACCCCTAATACATCTCCGACATATTGCTAGTGACTTTGAAGATGGTTGACCAAGCCGATAACCAGCTAAGAGTCAGTTCTTGTACCCTTCGCGTCCACCGTGGAGATGTATGACTCAATTCGGGACTCTGGTAGCTGATTGCTTGGCTTGTCTCTACTTCTTTAGGAATTGGAAAAGGACTATTGTCCGCCTCTTGACCCAGCATTATTTACAGCTATCGCCTGCGACTATGATCTCTCTGATTCGGCTCAGCTCCAGCAGCTTCGCGAAACCCTCGACACCCTCAAGCTATCTGCGTGGGAACAGGAAGACCTTCCTTTTGATCCGTCTGGTACGAGCGGCCTGGGCGCAAGTGGTGTTGATTCAGAAGGGATACCGTCGGAACACAGCGTGTCGCAAAACGGAACTGTGCGATCGCGCGAAACAGACATAACGAGCTTGGCATCGGAGTTGTCCTCCTTCAGCGTAGGCGACAAAGGTTCGCACAATGGTAAGAGCATATCTCAACGCGTATCCTATACTATTAGCGCAGATGGATCCCTTTGTCTATCGGGTGCAACCGAGGAGGATAAGATTGGCTACTTGTCAGAAATGTTCCCCTCCGTCGATAAATTCACCATCCAGCATGCACTGCGGAAGTCTAATGGGGATGTGGATCGCTCAATGGATGTCCTGCTTAATCTCACTTTCTTCTCCGAGCAACCTTCAATTGAGGACGGGGATAAGGTCGCTATCCCTAAAGGCATAGACGGGTTTCAAGATGGCCCGAATGGGGAAACCGGGCGAAAGAAGAACCGCAAACGCAAAGGGAAAGCCAAGAGCGGCTGTATCTATGAACGCTCATCCCCCTTGGATACTGAGGCAGGCTACTGCTTGCAGGATGAACCCTGTACTGTTAATAAGTGGGATGCGGCGCAGAGGGATATTGAGTTTATTCACTCCAGGACTTCCCCTGTCCTGAAGAAGGAAATGGTCACATCCACCTACCATGCTAATGGTGCTTCTTTAACAGCGACTATTCGGTCCCTGGCAGAGACACATGCACCGAAAGATGAGCGGGCCATAAGTCAAGATACAGTTATAGAGGCACAAGTTGCCGAACTGATCCAAGAGCTTCCTTCTATTCCGCCTACGACGTTCGCAGGTCTACTTAAAATTACGAGGAGTTCTGTCTCGGCCGCTAGTGAATTGGCAGCTGCAATGGTGACAGGGCCAGTAACCCCATCAGTGTCTGAATTGATTAAATTCACTACTTCACCGCCGCCAGTCGATGTCGAGGTAGAGACGCCTAGGCGACGGAATGAGCCGCGGGTCATTCGAGATTATGACCGTGTAAGAAGTTCCGCAGGGGCTCATTTTGCCGCCAGTTCGGAAGCACTCGCCAAAGCCTCGGCGGCATATCGTCGCGGCAAGTCCGATCGCCTGATGGGGGGTGCAGCTGCTTATTACTCTGCAGTCGGACGAGATCATCTAGAGCGGGCAAAGCGAGATGCAGCCGAAGCTGCAGATGCCCTCGTAGATTCGCAGTCCACGCACAATATGCTAGATCTTCACGGGGTCTCAGTGCAAGATGCCGTTCGCATCGCCAGTGAACGGGTTTCAGATTGGTGGGAGTCTTTCGGGGACGCCAAATACGTGCGCGGTGGTGAAATAGCCCGGTCTGGATATCGCATCATCACTGGACTCGGGCGACATAGTCATGATGGGACATCGCGCCTGGGCCCTGCTGTGGGCAAAATGCTGGCTCGTGAAGGCTGGAGAGTGGAAGTAGGCGAGGGAGTCTTGACTGTTGTAGGTGTGGTGCGACGTCACTGAACCTTGAGCTTCATTTGCTGAGATACCCTTTTTGCATTGTTTGATGATCTAGTCATGCATTTGGAGTAGATATTTGATATTGTGAATTTTGTACAGTGAACTCTATCGGGCCTTATACGATGTATAAGAAGCGTTATCTTGGATGAATTTGCCATAGGATGAGCCTTGTAAAACTCCTTAACTCGATATACACTTAATTTACTCCGCAATCGGGATTTATGACGTAAATGCTTAGCCAAATCGGAGAAGTACATCGACATCTCTAGTTATAAGTGGTTAAATTCTTCTACACTTTCAACTATCTTGCGCAACTTTGACTCTCTATTCCACAATTACGAACCTAATGCGCATCCAACGCTTCTCCACAGTCCTCCGCACTGTCACCTCCTTCAAATACCGGCCCACACCCCTCATCACGAAAGCCACCTCTCAACATCCGAGCAATCCATCCTTCCCAATCTCAAAACCCACTACACTCAAAGCCGCCCCAGGATTCCTCCCATTCCTAAGCTCTTTCTTCACGACAACCGCTAAACCCGAAACTGACAACAATAACAACATGTCCTACCCCGACCAGCGCAGCGCCGAAGATTGGCGCGCCGTCCTAAGCCCAGGTTCGTCCCAGAATCCCACTCAACAAACCCCCATTTAACACCAGCCCCCAACAATTGTAGAACAATTTCGCATTCTCCGTGAAAAGGGCACCGAGCGTCCCGGCACTGGCGAGTACGACTCCCATTATCCCTCCGAAGGTGTGTATAACTGTGCAGGGTGCAATGCCCCGCTATACAAAGCGACACACAAATTCAAGTCCGGCTGCGGCTGGCCCGCATATTTTGATTCTATCCCTGGTGCTGTGACGAGGCATACGGACAATACTTTTGGGATGCAGCGGACGGAGATCGTGTGCAGCAACTGTGGGGGTCATCTGGGGCATGTTTTTAAGGGGGAGGGGTTTCCGACGCCGACGGATGAGAGGCACTGTGTTAATAGTGTTAGTCTGAGGTTTCAGGAGGGGGAAGAGGGTGTGAAGGCGAAGGCGTAATTGGGGACTGGGTTGATTGATTTCTAGGTGTATCTTGGTAGTACTGTGGTAGGCGTGGGTAGGTGTATATTTATTGAGCTGGTTTGGCTCTGGGGGGTATACTGCGCTGCCGGTTTTAAAATTAGAGAGGGTGTTGTTGTCGGAGCTTTAAGAATGTATGTAGGTACGTATAATTATCAATGAGTGAGTGTTGGCTTTAACAATAATCATCAGACTCAGTTCACATATCCACTTTAAGTCTGTCTAGATTTTTATTTCTCTCTTGGTCGAGGTCTTCTGATAGGAACTTGGAGCTTCTTTTTCAGAGTGGGGCAGTCATGACACTGCCCGGATATATAGATCATGATATATAGATCAGGAAGAGCGATGAATGCGATTGTAATAAATGTGATCAAATGCGACGGGAAAGTAGCATCATCGGATGAGGCTGCTAAGGCGAGACCACAACCAAGCGTTACAAACTTAATGCTAAGCTGGAAGGATATACTCAAGCTATCATTCAATAGACCATGGTTAATTGAATGCATTCAATGAACTGCACACCCGGCACGTGTCCCCCACCCAATCGGGCATCCACATTGATTGGAGCCTGAGGCTCTCAAACACCGCATCCGCCACCTGACGGGAGATTGTCCCCGTGTTTCAACCATCCTTCTCTCCATTCGCCTCCCCTTAGACCTTCTCGGCTTCCTGAGTGCACTGCATTTCCTACTGTGATGTCTCGACGTGCGACACCGGGTCAGGCTGCTCAGAACCAGCAGACTATTAAGGCTCTGCTGAAACTCGAACACAACAAAATATGTGCCGATTGCAAGCGCAACAAGCGTTAGTACCCCGGAATTCGCCGTACGCCTTGAAATACTTTATATCTACATGCGGCCGGAAACAATGGATTGCTTAGCTGACAATTACCTCATTAGATCCACGATGGGCGTCCTGGAACCTCGGCATATTTATCTGCATCCGTTGCTCGGGTATTCATAGAGGCATGGGCACACATATCAGCCGGGTGAAATCCGTGGATCTTGACTCCTGGACCGATGAACAACTTCAGAGCGTGGTGAGATGGGGCAATGCAAGAGCGAACAAGTTCGTCTCCGACTAGGCATTGTATTTTGCGAGAACAAGCGTGCTGATGGTTTGGGCAGATATTGGGAGGCGAAACTGGCGCCCGGTCATGTCCCGTCGGAAGCGTGAGTGGATTCGCCGAGATGATATGGATGGCTGGCTAGAAATTTGTTGCTGACGAGGATTGGGTCTAGGAAAATCGAGAACTTCATTCGGACCAAGTATGAATCCAAGCGCTGGATTATGGACGGCCCGATGCCCGATCCTTCCACGCTAGATGATGGTGATGACGATGTGGTAAGATTCTTGGCATCTTCCTGTAGTCGGTGATGACTGATTATATTCTGAAGCCCCTTGCGGTTGTCCAGGAAAAGGCAAAGATCGAGCGTTCCGCATCTCAACGAGTGGCGGCGTCTAGTCAACCACCGGCGGCGCATCGCCAGCAAGCATCGATCGACCTCTTCGCTGACGATGATATTGCTCCCCCAGCCCGTCCTAGCACCACGGACCCTACACCACGAGCCGCGCCGAAGCAGCCTCAGTCTGCTCCCAAGCCAACACGCCCAGGGGACTCCCTGCTCGGCCTTGATTTTTTTGGCAGCGCTCAGCCAGCCACCAACAGTCGCCCGTCCAGCACGGCGTCTACCCCTGGTGGCTCCACTGGCATTTCTAGGCCCGATTTGAAGCAATCTATCCTATCTCTTTATTCAAAGCCTCAGCCAGCCCCAGCCCAGCATGGGCGCACTTCTTCGTTTGGAGATTTCGGAGACCTGGCGTCTCCCGCGCCGCCATCAGCTTCACCATCTTCTAACCTGGGTGGTCTCACGGATGCCTTTAGTGGACTTAGCTTCCCATCAACTACTTCTCCGCCACCTCAAAAACCAGCGGAAAAGCCATCTCCATTTGCTAATCTCACAAGCTTCGCCACCAAGAAGTCCACTCCTGCAGCTCCGAAGGTCTCTTCCCCTACGGCGTCTGCCGGCAGTGGTGGGGGTAGTTTGTTCGACAGTCTTACCTCTCCCACTATTCCTGCAGCGAAGCCTCAGTCCCGTACTACATCGATTTCTTCCAGTGGGTTCGATTCAGGATTCACCAGTTTCGCGTCTCCTCCGCCATCTAAGCCGAATCCACCACCACCATCTTCATTATTATCTAATGATCTCTTTGGACTGTCATCCCCTGCTCCCGTTGCTCCGTCCAAGGTATCTTCCCCGCCAGCCCCGACAGCAACTTCGCCGCAGCAAGAACTGAAGGCCGCTTTCAACCTTAACCCCCCTGTGCCCGCTCCGGTCTCTGCAGCGCCAAAACCTAGCATGTCCGCCACAACAACATCTATCGCAAGCGCACTCCCAGCAAGCATAGATCCTTGGGGAGGAGGTAACGCCTGGAGCACTCCAGATCCTGCGCCAGCTGCTGAGCCCTCGGGTTCGTCGATAATGAAGGTTCCCGATACCCTGACTGCCAATGACATCGGGGCCGGCTGGGGCGCCCCGGCCTCTCCATCCGGAGGTTCGAAGCAAGCACCGGCAGTGGCTGCAGACGAAGATTTCGGAGGCTGGACCAGTGCGGCACCTATCTCATCCACGACGGCAGCCACTACGAGTAATATGAGCGTTCCATCTAAACCGGCAGGCGGGTTTAGCGGGGCTGATGATTTATTTTCTAATGTATGGGAGTAGTTGTTCCCCTCCTGTGTTGACCCAGAGATGCACATACATGGTGTTATGTTAGACCTCAGCGCCAGATCGCAATTTATTTCTTATTCTTTTTTTATGTCATTCATCTTACGCCCTTCACGTCTTCCCTTTCTGCATTTGAACTTCTAGATGCCCCGTCTTACTTTATTTTTCCTATGCGACACTGCGACCTGCTTTCATCTGATCACGACTTGGGACATGGAGTTAGGGCTGTAAAAATGGGCGGTTTTTCTGGACAAAATGTTTTGTAGCAATGGGTCATAATGGCCCCTAAGGGTGTTTTCATGACGTTCAGGATGTCACTGGTTATTATGAATGGCACTAATATCTTAACATTTCTTGGGTGTAAGGGAAATGAGTATCTTTGTTGATCTCAGCAGATATGTTGGTTGGGGGAGAAGCGGCGCGGAGTCGGACCGAAGTTACGATTTGATGTACTTCGTATTTGATACCTAACTTTATTTCATTAAACCATTTCTCCTGGCTAAAGATCTCCACTTTAGAATCTCGGCGGGCTTATATATCGCAATGGTTATTGATCCAATGCAAGGCGGCGAAACCTTCCTATAGATATGCAATAATTACTCCGAGTGAGTACGGAGTATTGGCAAATGCACCATATCTCGTTACCTTAATCTAACAATGCCTCAACAAGCTAATATTGACCACGGCCAACCCTTGACGGTGCACATACTCGTCTAAAATCATACGATTGAAAGGGCCCTTTTGCTAACTAATGTTATACAACTGTATGACTTATTCCCACTGATTTTACTTAATTATAGTAATTTTACTAACTCGCATGCTGAATAGCGTTTTGATCCCGTGATGGCGGATTATCGCAGGCCGATATCGACAGGGAAGGAGCTGTCCCAGCCTGTGACGTCTACGCCCAGGGTCCGGCTAAGCTGCGAATTGTGTCGCCAACGGAAGGTAAAATGTGACAAGCTTAACCCCTGCACAAATTGCCAGCGTTTTGGCGCTACATGTGTCCCTGTTGAACGGGCGCGACTGCCGCGAGGCCGGTCTGGCAGGGTAACAGGGAAGAATGCTTCTGGACAGGACACAGGCTTGAAAGAGCGTGTGGATAGACTTGAGGAGCTACTTCGAGAATTGACAGAGCATGAGGATGGCACAATTGCCACACAGATCGGTTCTAGTAGCTCGGGTAGTTCAGATCAAGCTCCTGCCAACAAGCAAGTGAATAAGTACGAGCCTGGGACGGAGAATTCGCTTTGGGCGAACATTCTAAAAGAGGTAGAATGTCTCTATTTGGACTTTATTCAGCAAACATATCTCTAATGGCATGATAACAGATACACGATATACGTGGTACTAAGAGTTATGGCTCAACCAGTGAGGGCCGTACTTCCAACAGTGATGCTATGAAATTTAGGGAGCTTCTTGCAACACCAAGGGAACTTGGTTCGTCAATGGCCACTAGAGAGCCAGCTCTCACTATACAGGCTGAGAAAGCCCTAGTTCAAATCTTTCTGGAGAAAGTTGATCCGGCCTTCAAAATACTACATGCCCCCTCACTCAAAGCGTTTCTACTCGATGGCAAACCCTACCTCGACTATGAGCCGGGACATATGGCTCCGGCCACACTCTCTTCTGCAATCTACTTTGCTGCAGCATGTAGCATTACGGAAGATGAGAGTAAAAAGTTACTTGATTGTAACAAAGGCTGGCTAGTGGCACGGTATCAGCAAGAGTCAGAATCAGCCTTAGCAAAAGCGGACTTCATGACCAGTAACGACTTGACTATCCTGCAAGCTTTTGTTTTGTTTCTGGTAAGTGCTCATGCTACCTACTATTCCAATTCTTAGAGAAATCTTTCCAACGATATGGCGAATTCAGCTAGCTTCGCGGTCTCAAGACTCGAGTCGACGGGTCTGGACTATGATGAGCATGGCCCTCCGTATTGCCCAAGCACTTTTACTTCACCTCCCCGAGCTACCGTTTCCAGTACGACCATTTGAACGCGAGCTGCGTCGACGTCTATGGACCTACATTGGCCTTCTCGATATACAGTGCTCCTTAGAGCGCGCATCGGGGCCCATGATGCAAGCAAAATGGGTGGAGTCAAACCCACCCTCAAACGTCAATGATTGCGACATAAGTTTCGGCATGAATGGCCCAATCCAAGACTCCGAAGATTTCACAGACATGACCTTCGCAATGATGACCCTGAAAGCGCAAAGCACAGTTCGGCTGCTCAATTTCTCAGACTTCATCGACAAAACCGTGAGTTGCGTCAACAAACGTCACCAGCTCGTACTCGAATTCCAAGAGACGGCTTCAAAGCTACTCCAGAACTCCCAACCCGACAAAATCCCATTCCATTGGTACACGAGACAAGTAGCCGAGATCATAAGCGCCTCCTTACAACTAATCGTCCTCCGGCCCTTACAACGGAACGCGAACTTCATCCCTCCCCGCGTCCGCGGAGACCGTCTCCTCCAAATAGCCGTCGACGTCCTGAAGAAGTCAAAAACCATCCGCAGCGACCCAAGAGGCCAGTCATGGCGATGGTGCGAATTCATGTTCGTCCCGTGGCATTCACTGGCCGTAGCCATTGCCGAACTGTGCGTCTGCGAGGACCACTCCTTAATGGAAAGTTTCTGGGGCCCTGTCCGAGAAGCGTACGAGAAGCTGGGTGACCTGATAGCCGACTCGCGTAGAGGGATGATCTGGAAACCAATGGAGAAAATCATGGCGCAGGCAGAAGCAAGACGAAACGAACTATTGGCGGCATCGAATGTCGTCTCATACCCGACGCAGTTTTCTGGAACTGCGACTCCCTTACAAGTGCCGGTTTGCTCTCAGACGAGTACGCAACCCTCCATGGCATTGTCGGGGGATATTATTCCAGGTGCGGGCACTTATACTGAGGCTGCCTCTATTGTGACACTTCCAGAGACCGTTGGGCTTGGTCCCTGGCCGAGTGTCTGGGATGCGGTGGATTTTGGGTGCCCGGTAGCTACGAACGAGATGTCTTGGCTGAACTATGAAAACTTTATTGAGGACGTGTATGGAACTATGGACTATACCCTGCTATCCCATTAATCCGCAACGGCTTGGTTGTCCGACCTTAGCTGTGAAGCCGGTTACCCAATGACATTACGGGACGATAGATATACTCGAATTCATGTATTCAATTGTAAATGTCTAGAAACGCCCGTCAGACTAAACTATGGGTTATACAAGCATCCCTAGGAGTCAACACAACCGAACAAACCCGCCATCTAGCAGACAGGGGTTTAAATTTCCCACTCAGCTACGTACCCACTCCATATAGTACACAAGTCAACGATGGAAGGTAGAGCAAATGCACCACCACCGAGGGTAAAAGAAACCATTTATGGAAAGAAGATAATGTGTCACAATAAGCGAACAAAAAAGGGATAGCGGCCATTCACCATTTCTACCTCATAACCCAGACGCCATGTAGAGTCAAGTTACATTAGCCCTTCCGACATTAACAGATTCATCTCTGATCTCTTAGACAAGAAATAGAACCCAACTCCACCGCGCTTTCGCACGAGCCCGATACATCCGTTCGTGGCTGTGAAAGTAGCAACAAGTGCACGTGAACATGGATAGGGATGGGAAAACAAGAAAAAGACTCGTTATCCGAGTTAATAATAATATTGAAATAGAGATATCAGAGGAAATGCAGGGTATTTGTACAACAGATAGCAGAAGGATAATGTAAAGGGAAAAAAAGAGGGGGGACCGGAGGACGACAAATAGAGAGTGGAATTCAAAGAGTGCCGAGAGAGCTCATTTAGTAAGTAAATAGGTAGTACTTTAAAGAGAAGCTCTGACTGGTCAATGGAATTCCTTGTTGATTTTTCTTTCTTCTTTTTTTCTGTTGGATTTAGTAATATTCCTCTCTTTCTAGGATCATAATTAACTCGGTGAGTTCCTTGCGTAGTGACCGGTTACGGTCCCAAATCTCGACGATCCTTGGACGATGGCTTAGGAATACGGCCTTCTTCCATGATAGGCCGTCGTATTGCTGTGCGACTCGGTCCGGTAGATTCCTTGCAAGGTTGCGCAGGACCAATGCAGCCTTGTACGCCACTCCAACGGGTTCTCCTCGCTCATTGACGGGCGTGTCAAGGTAGAACCATTTACGAACGATACGTTCCTGGAGTACAGGGCGTTTTGACGACGGTGCCTCAGCATCTGCAGGTCGCTCTTCGGGCAAATGTGAAGAAACATGGCCTGCCACCATAGCAGTGTTAGCACTGGGGCCAGACGAGCGGAATTTAGTACAGTTGTCCCAAAGGCAAGTGTGTATTGGTGACTCGGCTTTGTCCAGATTATAGTGACCTGGCGCCTCACCACTTGTGGCAAGGTTCATATGATCTGAGAAAACATGATTGCGAAGATCTGTAGGGGTTTTAAAGGCGCGTTGGCATGTTTTAGATGGTTTCGAATTGTCTGTCCACTTGCAGAACAAGTAAGGGAAGCCTTGGAAAGTGTAGGCAGTCTCCAGAGGTCTGATACCCTTGATGATGAACCTGGTAGTTGCACCGGGTCCGTTGATGACCTGTGCTTGTGCGTTTGTGAAGGTTGTGCTGACATTCTTGATGAACTCGGCCGCCGGTAGAACACCCCCGCCAGGAACCCGAGGGTCTGCGAATCGGCTTTGATACGCTTGCCATAGGGCGATCTGCGTGATCTCACAATCAGCATCTTCGACGAAGCAACAACGCAACCATCGGGAGCTGCGCTCAGGTTCAGACAGCTCCATTAGGTCTTTCAAGAGCTCCGGGGGGACACGAGGAATTTCCGAAGGGGGCGGTGCCACTTTCTCCTCTTGCAAAACCGTTTCCTTCTTGCTGGGTCGCGCATCGTGCGTTAATAAGGCGATCATGCGCGGCGCAAAAACAATAGGAAGGTTGAAAATATCGATCAAATTCTCAATGTTCTCCCGAGAAAGTGTATACTGATACCAGAAGTCCAGTGCGCCGCTCAGGATATCTCTATCCTGGTCAAGGAGTGTATGGAAGTACAACTGTTGCAGGGTAGCTTTTGGTACACGTTCCATTGCCCGGTTTGCCTCCTGGTCATCTAGTTCCGTTGAAAAATGAGTAAGAGCCCAGAGTGCACGAATAACGTGAGCACGGTCTGGTGACTCGAGACAGCCGAGCAAGGAAATCCAGAGTGGATCTTCAGGGTCAGTCCTCATGAACTTCGTAACTTCCTCCGCAATATCCAACGCGTCATTCTTGATTTCGTTCAGACGTGGCTGGTTAGGTAGGTTAATCAGAATGACCAGAAAGTCCCTCAGTAGTCCTTTGGCGTAACGCGATACGTAAAAAGCGTTTTCTTTCAACAAAACCATATTCCGAAGAACCAATGTGGCCTCCTTAACATTTCGAAGACGGTGATTGAACTCGTAGGTCTCAAGAGTGTCGTCTGGTAATGTTACAGGTAT